GATCAGGCCCATCTAAAGTAGATTCTGTGTCAGAAGAGGAAGTGGGGTTGGGATCCACAGCTGGACTTCCAAGGCCAGAGAACTCAGAGCGAAGCTTGGTGGATGTTGAGAATCAGTCAGTTTCTAACACTGTGGGAAAGCTTAGTACGCATGCTAAGGAGGAGAAGGGTGGATCCACCATCAATAATCCCAGAGTACAACTTCAGGAAAAGAAGGCAGACCATCTGAGACAGATCAGATGCATCGAGCCATTAATCAAGAGGACCTTCTCTGAAGGTATGTTTGCTCATTTCGGTCTGGAAGAGAGGAGAGGTATGCAGTTTGGAATCAACTTTGCATCATTAGGCAGCTTTTCCCTAATTGGCAGTAGTCTAACTTGCTCTGTTTCTTTTGCTATTGTCTTCTGCAGTACTCTTCATGTGTACCTTAAAGCCATCCTGGCTGGTCAGCATTAATATGATAAAGCCTTTAGTTAGAAAGCCGTAGTCTTGATTTGCTTGGAAGTGGGAGAGAAGAATCAAAAGAGACCTTCAGGTTCAGCACTAGTTTTTGAGCTGCTATTTTCTGTTCTGTGACAGCTCTAGAACCTATTATCCTTCAGACACCATACAGAGCCTTCAACATATTTTGCAGGACAATCGCCTTGTCAAAGAGTAAATTCCAGACATCATAATTATAACCAGAGAAGAGAGTTTGCATCCCCTCAAGGCTTGGTGAGTGAACAAGAAAGAGATCTTGGGATTGTGTTGGTCATCTTGATAAAAATGTTGGCCAGCCCATTGTGTAGGTGCAGTGAAAAACTACTGAAAAGGGCAGTGAAATTGTTCAAGAAGGTGCAGCAACTTCTGTGTGAAAAACGGTTACAGCATCTAGGATTATTTAGCTTAGAAAAAGGGTGAGTAAGGGAAGACAGGAGGAAGGTTTACAAAATTATGTTTGGCGTGGAGAAAGTGGAGAAGGATACATCTTGCTCCCTCTCTCATAATACTAGAACTCGGGCTCAACTCATGAAGCTGAAGGGTGGGAGATTGAGGACAGCTAAATGGAAGTCCTCGTTCATGCAGCACACAGTGAAACGATGGGATTTTCTTCTGTAATTTGTAGCGATGTCCACCAATTTGAATGGCTGTGAAAGGTGATTGGCTACGTTCCTTGGAGGAGAAGGCTATCAATGGCTGCTAGGCATGGCTAGATAGGTGCTTCTTCCAGTGGAAGAGGCAGTATGTCTGCTGGGGAATATGGGTATATACTTCTGCATTCATGTCCTCCTTGCAGGTTCTTGTGGGCAACTGCTTGGCCAATGTATGATCAGAACACCGGATGAGAGGGATGCTTGGCCTGATGTTCTTAAGTGTCTGACCCAAATCCCTGAAGGAAAGCCTTCTCTCACATGCGCCTGACCATGCATCGAGATCTTCAGAGAAAGGCTTTCACTGTGCACTGTCTTCAGCAGAAGCACATCATATGCCATGCCAACTCTGCAAAGCCCTCCCAAGGGATATAATGTTGGCACAAGTTTGGTATTGCTTTTGCTGCCAGATAAAAGTATGCCTTGCTGATGAACGTTAGAATTTGTAAATGCAATACAATCTAACAGTATAGCCTGATGGCCCCTAGCAAGCATCTTGCAGGGTGGGAAGCACAGTGCAGTTCAAATTCTCAGTTGAGGAGCAGAGAATTAGAGCCCCTGTACTCCTCTCCTGCCCCTTTGTAGCCAACTCAGAAGAACCAACCTGGCTGTACACTGAGGTTGGGAAAGTGACCCCAGAGAGGGATTGAAGGAGGGAGGGGACTGGACTGGCTTCTCTAATCTTCTTCTTTCCCCCTCCGAGTTGCTCCAGTGGTGGATGGACAAAAAGGTTTATCTAGCAAAATGCATAACAGGAGGAGTAGGACGGCAAAGATGGCCACCACCAGCCCTTGCAGTCTGCACTGGATGAGCTTGAACCTCCATGTTTGGAGGCTGTTGCTCATTCCAATTGGATTGTGCCCAAAATGGATTAGATCAATTGAATGATTTCTGTTTGCTGGTTTTATGTTTTTTAAGCTTTCAGTTTTTATTGTTCTTAATTTATATTGCTTTTCATCATTTTGTATCCATCTCACTGGAATTGCCTTTGGTGACGAAGGAGCAATATTGAAACATTTGAAACAAATAAATATATAGAGCCATCTATCCTCTCCAAAACCAGCAGGCATCAGTAAAGAAAGTATTCCTTCCCACTAATTGGTATGACGATAAGACTACCCTGTTCTTATTTACAAAACTACAGATTTATGTCAAGCAAAGCCAATTATGCTTAATGTTTAAACTATTGCAGGTGCTGAATGACTTTGTTGCTAGGCTCTGGGAATGAAAAATGCTCTTTTAACGCATCTCATTGCAATGGAGAGCATGCGCTCCATCATCAGAGCAAACTCAACAGATGGATTGCTTAATCCCTGCCACTGATCTCTCTCTACATCCCTTCTTTCCATGGCTGCTCTCCCAGCATTCTACCTGAAACCATGTCCCATGTGGTTTGTCTTCCCTCTAGTACCTGGGAAAGGGTTCAATCCGCCCCCCCCCCCCCAATCAGGTATGCTTAACTCATTCAGAATATCCCTGGTCATTCGCTGTGAAATAAAAGTACGTTTGCTTTGTCTGTTGCTGTGCAGACTGAAGACATTTAACATCTAATCACTGGGATGCCAGAGCTTGCTGGTATCCGACGCTGTGAGGTAGTTGAATCCCCTTCTCTTTTCTCCAGAGAATTTTGGAATCCATTCCCTCCAATGGGAACTTGTGTAAGCAGGAATTATTAGTGCCTTCACCAAAGCCAAAATGCCCAGGATTCTTTGGAGGAATATGATGGAATGACCTGCAGTCCAACCCTTCCCAGCTTGATGCCCTCAGATGTGCTGGGCTGCACGTTTCTCAATTCTTTGGTTGGCTGGGGCATGCTGGGAGTTGTAAGCCTTTTTTCTGCCTAAGCATGCATGGGATTGCCCCTGTACTAATCTTGCTGGGTGGAGAACATAAAAACCCCTGTGTGCCAATGGTGAGAGAGCCTTTACAAGTAAACACTGCTGAACGGGGCTGAGAAGAATTGCACTGTAGCAATATCTGAAACCACATGTGTCCCACACTCTCGGCCTACGGGGAGGCTGCAACCCGAAGTTCGGTGACAGGGAGATGTGCACAGATCCACAGATATTCAGCTCAGATTCCAGCAGTTCCTAACTCAATGGCTTTTGCACTAGAATATATCTACTTTTCTGCCTTGATGGGGGACCCAAGCACCTCTCGTAATGGCTTCTCCTTGCAAAATCTCAAACCTTGGCTGGAACTGTGGCCCAAGCCAACCCATGGACTCAGAATCTACCTAAGAATGATTCTCAAGAAACTCTTTGTAAACTCCTCTGAACTCCTATATAGCTCCTTATATGTGGAAATGCAGCTCCTTCAGAGACTCCCAATGTACCCATGAGCAACTGAAGAAGCATGGCTTCTGTGTTCTGTGTTTGCACTTCTAAAAGCTATGTGGGTATGCATGGTTGTAGATTTGGTTGTAGATCTGTTGAAGCCGGATGGAGGGGTGGAGCTCTGGCAATCAATGGTCTCTTCCTAGGTGATATAAAAACTCAGTTGGTGTCTGGAAGTTTTCAGCTTCTGGTTGTCAGCAAGAATAATCTTAGAACTTTGAATAGCATAGGATTGGCATGAGATTTACAGCATTGCCCATGGAAGTTTCAAGGCCAGCTTTGTTCCTGCGGCACAAAACAAGTTTAGAGGCTGAGAAATCTGGATGAGAATTGATGGCTGGGAGCTTTGCCTTGTCTAGAATTTGATTTTTTAAAATCAGTTTTTGAAAACTGTTACCAAAAAACTCATGAAAATGCAGTCTCAATTGCCTTCGCTAACCAGATTCAACAGGTACAGATATTCTCAGAATGGAAAAAAACTGTGATATACCCGTTTGCCGTGCAGGTCTTACAGATGAGGTGCCTGTCATGGAAAAAGAGGTGGCAACTTAAACCCAGCACTGTCATGAGTGCATGCAAAGGGCTTCACACTCAGGCGTTTCAGAGCAAAGATGGCAAGAACCTGGGGCTGCATAGACAAATAGCAGTTTTGCTTTCTCTCACATTTGCACGCTTTACACCTCAGGTTCTTTGTGCCCCAAATATGGAGCAGTTTGTGAATTTTGGCCAACTGTTATACAGAATGAACAGACTTTAATTCTTAGCCAACTCTAGGGGTTTTTTCCTGCACTCAGGCTGGGTGCTGAGAAATATTCAGCATACATTCAGATAAAAGTCAAAGGATAGCTTATAGAGGGTGGGTAGAGTCAAGTACTCCCCCTTTCCCCTGGGGCTTCTTCTGTACAAGCAACCCCTTTGCTACTACTGCCTTGTATATTATGACCCCATTATTATATTGCATTTATATCCCACTTTCTTCAGAAACACCACAGAATGGGGTGCTTGCATGTTGTTCTACTCTAAACTGCCCCATGTGGCATTATATGCCTCCATTTCTATTGTGTTTGTCACTGCTTCTTGTGATACATTGCGCTCAGCATCAGCCGTGGTGTCCCTCAACTACAACCACAGATTCCGAGCCGGCTGAACAAGAGACTCGTACGGCATAATGCAGGATTGTGTTTGGAGGTGACTTTATTAAGTACAAAAGTCCCTTTCAGCACAAGTTCATGCATACATATGGAACATGGTGCTAAGAACTGCTCTTGCCCAATTAAAAGGCTCTGTCACTCATGGGGGTCTCATTAACAGTAAAGGGAGCTGAGATGTAGGGAACAGCTAAGGAACAGGGCCTAAGTCTGGGAGATCTTGCAGAGATTTTAAAAAATATCAAGAGATGAAAAAGATTAACAACAATCCATTATTGTTAAGTCGGTTCATAAACAGAGAAAGGGACGTATCATTAAAATTTGACAGACAATACTCCAATGACTGACTACACCAAGCTCTCAACCAGTCATTTTCAGAGCAAGATTTCACAGGAGAGTCTCCACAGGGGACAAAAAGGATGGACAATCCAGGATACTGTCATAAAATTTAAGTGATTTCTCATGCTGTAAAAGTTGTTCTTGAAGAAGACTCCCTCTGAATCCTTCATTATCATCTTGCTGCAGAGTATTGAATCTAAAAAGCAAAAAAATAAACCCTCTGTAGTACTATAAAATATAATATTCAGTTTCTCACCCAATGTCCTCAAAGTCTAATCCCAAAAACATTCACAGAGAAAGGGAGAGGCATATGTTAAACTGACTTATACAAAGCTGGTGCATCCAAATCAGTATGAGCCATGATCCCAGGGAGTCCTGCCATGATGTGACTGAAGCTATGGCCTTAGGGGAAGTGTTAGATTGAGAAAGAGTAAAGCCCAGGAAGACTTTACTTCCCTGAGAACTCCCTGCATCAGGAACCTTTCTTCATACCACCTTCTCTGTCTGATCCACTCTCTGGATCCAAGGATTCTGGACCAGAAGCCAAAGTGCAGCATGATTTCCCCTGTAGCATTGGAGCCAACTGTTCTTGAAGTAAGACAATTCCCCTTTAATTGGAAGGTACTTGAGTAGTCTCCTTGAGTCAGTAGAAACCTGTCGGTCTTTGGGTGGAGCTGTCTGCTGCTGAAGAAACATACTAGCCATTGAATGCATGGGTGCCTCTCCAACCTGAGCTCCCCATTGAGTTGTTCAGGGTGCAACGCAGATTTGTCCCAAACTCTTGCCTAGAACTGTCCCCCCCCCCCACACACACACTTCCCCAATCTCACACACATGGCCTAGAACACCATAAGGCTCACAAGAATTTCCCCAGCCCTGCTACATAAGATGGGGATTCTACAGATGAAAACTTTGATATGTGAAACATGTCTTAATTTCTGCGTGTGTAAGTTTGAGTTGAAAAGATTTTGCTTAAGTCCAGCTACTGAAGCTGTATATTCTGAGCACACATACTGGATTTGCTTTCTGCACCATTTCAAACCTCCTCTGCTTGCTGTCAGTTTGGACCTTTGGCAAGAGAGTCTGATCCTTTTTGGGAAAGATGCTCAGCAGAGAGAGGGAGAGGGAGTGACAGAGAGGGAAGAGAAGGTCGACTTACTCACTTGTGGATCTAGCCCCAACCACGACTGTTTTTGGTTGTGCCTACCACCAGCTGGTTGCCAGGGCAATGCCCCTTGAAGAAAAAAGTTTCCCACCCTGTTCTAATTTCAGTATTCATTGGTTAAAAAAAGCCATTCTGCAAAACACGGCACACTTACAACTGTTTCTTCCCATTGACTTGAAAGGAAAGCATCAGAAGCAGCATTTCTATGCACAACAGTTGCTGGAAGCTTGGACAGGAGGTGCTGCTGCACTGGAATACAGCGCTGCACCAGATGGGCCCTTGGTCTGATCCAGCAGAGCTCCTGTGCTCTGATGTTATAAGTCCATTTCAGGCATGAGAGCCTCCATCCACATAAACACCGCAGTTGGAATTCATTGATTTGGGCCTGGGAAAGGTCTCTGCTTTATTCAGTCTTTCCTCTCTTTGGAGGAGGAAAACTAAGGCAGAGTTTCACTAGGCTGTAGCTCATTGGTATTTTGTGTTGTGTGCCATCAAGTTGCCTCTGGCTTATGGTGACCCTATGAATGAATGCTCACTAAAGTGTCGTGTCTTTGACAGCCCTGTTCAGCTTTTGTAAATTCAAGGCTAGGGCTTCCTTTATGGAACCATGCCATCTCACAGCTGGTCTTCCTCTTCTTTCCTGCCTTGGACCTTACCCAGCATTATTGTCTTCTCCAGTAAGTCTTGCCTTCTTATGATATGCTTGAAGTACAAGAGTTTCAGTTTCATTATTTTTGCTTCCAGGGAAAAATGCCTATCTTGATCCAGGACCCATTTGTTCATCTGTCAGTTGAGGGTATTCACAAAGCTTTCCTCCAAAAGCATGTTTCAAACATATCTACTTTCTTCCAGTCAGTTTTCACACCCATGCAGAGTGATCAGGAATACAATAGCATGGACGATCTTTGCTTTGATCTCCTGTAAAGTGTTCTTAAACGTGACGATCTTTTCCAGTTCATTCACTGTAGCCCTTCCAGGCCTCAGTCTTCTTCCAATGCCTTGGTTGCAACCTCCCTTTGACTGAGTCAAGGTATGCAAAATCTTCCATAATTCCAATTTCTTCACTGTTGAGAAGTTCTGTAATCCTTCTCTAATTTTCTTAATGTTCAGCTGCAGTCCTGCTTTTGTACTTCCTTATTTCCCTTTCATTAAGAGTTGTTTCAATTCATGGCTGCTTTCTGCTAGTAATATGGTATCATCTGCATATCTTAAGTTATTGATGGAACTTCTACCAGTTTGCACTCCTTCCTCTGATGCTAATCCAGCTTTCCTTATGATAAGGTCTGTGTAAAGATAGGGAGATAAAATACATCCTTGTCCAACACTTTTGCCTATAGGAAACCATTCTGTTTTTCCATATTCTGTCCTAACAGTAGCTTCTTGTGCATGATACAGGTTATGCATCCGGACAATCAAATGCTTCTGAAATTCTTTGGTGTACTCCAGTAGCAACTTATATTTGTGATATGATCTTGACTGTCTGCTCCTTTTCATAACATCTGCATTTCTAGTCCCATTTAGGGTAAAATTCTTTGTTATAATACCTTAAGCTTCACTTTGCTTGTGTGGGAAATTAGTGCAATGGTTGCTGCACACTTTTACATATCCTTTCTGGGGATATATATTGGAATACATATTGAATGTTCCCAGTCTGTGGGCCAGATTTGGACCAATTCAGTGTCTGCAGTATGCAAGTGTTCTACTGGCATCCATCTACCCTGGGTGCTTTATTCCTTCCAAGTGTTTTCAGAAATGCATGCATGAAGTCCCAGATTCAGTTCTTGAGATCTCTCAGCAGGGCTGGGAAACTCCCCTGTCTCAAGCCCTGGGCAGCTGATGCTGGTTGATAAAAGCTACAGTGGGTGAACTGGGGCCTTTGCTTAATTTGAAAAGCCCCTCTGCATGCAGTCAGTCAGGATCTCTGGCAAGTGCACTGTGTTCCTTCCTTGGCTGGTCTCTGGGTAGGAGGCAAGGGACAAGAAGCCGAAGCAGAAGCGAGTGTGAGTGTGTGTGTGTGTGTGTGTGTGTGTGTGTGTGAGAGAGAGAGAGAGAGAGAGAGAGAGAGAGAGAGAGAGATGCATGCTGAGATGTTAGATGATGAACATCCTAAGACTTACCTTTGTGAAATGAACCAGAAGCCCAAAGTATTAATCATCATCAGTGAGGCCAGGAAGAAGTAAAATCTCTCCAATTTCCCCTCATTTAGCACATTTGGAAACCAGTCACCTATGCGAGAAAACAGTGTGCATATTTGTATATTATAGAAAGGGAGGGAAGGAAGAAGGGAGAATTGCAAGAAATCTACCAGTGGATCAGTGGCTATGTGCATGGGCACTGAGCTGGTAGTTCAGCCTCTTTTCCTTGAACCAGAGTAGGGGGTGTCTAAACTCTGCTTAGCAAGTAAGAAGGAAAGAGAGAACCAAAATATGAGTGTGCAAACTTCAGGCTGACTCATACCTAATAGATACACAAACCCTGTTGTTTAGCATGCCAACCTTTGTAGCTTTCCTGACCTAGTGCTTTCCTGGTGTTTAGGACTCCAGCTCTCATCATCTCTGGATATTGCACATGGTGGCTGGGAGTGATGGGAACTGTAATGCAAAACATCCAGATGGCACCAGATTGGGGAAGGCTGCTGTAAAGCTCTGAAGGAGAACTGAACATCCATGTCTCCTCCAGGACATGCAATGGCGACTGTGTGCATCTCTTTCCATAGAGAGGCGCATGTCTCCTCCTCACCGCTTAATGGTGCTTAGCTCTTTTGTATGCATAAAAAACACACTTGCCATTTGAGGTGTGAATTGGCCCTCAGAGTCAGGAGAGATTCCAGGGGTTTCCTCTGGTTTGAAAATGCATGCAAGCTGATTTAGCGCAGCAGCTTATGAAGAATGAGCCAGCGAAAATAGGAGAGTGCATGTTGGAAGGAAGGAAAACGCTTCTGTCTGTCTCACAGAGGATTGTCAGCATTCAATTGTTAAGCAAATGCCTTCCTCTGGGTCCACAAAAATAAGCTGTCTGCTTCTCACCAGCTGCCTGCCAGTACAAATTTCTCTCACCCATGAATTGGTTCCTAAGACAAAACCGGGTTTCATTTGTCAGAAAGTGCCACAGCACCGCTGCCCATCCCCGCCGTCACTCCCCTCATCCAACTTCTCAAGTATGATTCAGGTCTGTGGCATATTCCCAGAGCCGGGCTTAAAACATATCATTTAAGACTGTCCGCTGACTGAGCTCTTAGGCACTATAAACCTCCATTTTAGTAGCTTATAAAGTTTTAGAGCCTTCATTCACAATCAAGCAGTCTTTCATTTTACACGTCCCAGCGGCTGCGAGGGCTCAAGGAGAGAGCAAGTGTATCTGATGGAGCAGAAGCTGGATATATGTGGCCTCCAAGGAGCCCTCGCATCAGAGTTCAACAGAAAACAATTCGAGTTGAAGAAAGAACGCAAAAGCCAGGTCAATGGGGACTATTTGCACATGTACTTGGGAACCTGCTCCTGACTTCGTTCCCTATTTCTGCTGGGTGGCAGGACCAGTGGAAGCTCATGGCTCTCATAGAATGGGGTGGAGTATCTGGTGTGGGTTTTAGCCTGAACATTAAAGAAGCTACCCATGGTTCTGAACAAAGAGGAGCTAT